GGGGATAAATAGATCTATTTATCTATGATCGAATTATATTTGTTCGATACACTATTTGTCAATATGATTGTGAATATTCAATATGAAGAAAAGAATAAGAATATAAAAAAAGAAAATAAATAAAATAAACAAGCTTAATCTTAATCACTTGTTTTGTTAGTTGTTAATAGATTTACAATGAAAGAAAACCACCCCAGCGAGGGTGATGTAAAAAAAATTATATTTTTTTAGACCAATTGCTTCATTTATTCACTTGATTTTTGTTTCTATGTAATTTATTCACTTGATTTTTTTTTTCTATGTAATTTATATCAATCAAATTATATCAATATCAATAAAATCGATTTTCGTAAAATCGATTTTATTTCATTATACATTATAGAAGACGATATTCTCTAGTAGGAATAGAATACTAAATAGGAAGACTAAATAGGTATGAATAGAGCAAAAGAGGGGGGAAAGAGTAGAGAAATCTTTATACAAAGCTATATACGAGTTATCCACCCCCCCCCCTTTTTTTTTATTTCATTAATTGACTTTCGTTTGATTAAGATTAAGTTCCATAAAAACCCCCGCCTTCTTTGAAATATCATAAACAGTTTCTGTCGGTTGAGCACCCTTTTTAAGGAAATCTAAAATTGCAGGAACATTTAAATAGGTTTGATTATTTATCGGATCATAAAAACCCACTTTCCGAAGATCCCTTCCTTCTCGTCGGGATCGAACATCAATTGCAACGATTCGATAAACGGCTCATTGGGATAGATGTAGATGAATACTACCCCCCCCCCTAGAAACGTATAAGAGGTTTTCTCCTCATACGGCTCGAGAAAAAAAAAATGATTAGAAATTATGTCTATGTATAAAATTAGAATGTCAAATAGATTCATAAAACCACCAAATCAGTTAGACATTTAAGTCCTAAATTCTTCTTTCTTCTTTTCTTTTTCGAAAAAGAAAAGAAGAAAAAAGTATTCATACTCTCATAACTCAAGTTGGATAAGTTTAAAATAGCTCAACGGAAAACCCCTTGGCATTTCAGTTATTGAGTAGTCTTTAACCCCTTTTTTGTTTGTCTCGTTTAGAATAGAATCTATTTTGATTCTGATCTAGTTGTTTAGACAATTGAAAAGGGTATTTCCTTGTTCCAGGATCCTTTATGGTTGCTTTGAATCATTGGGTTTAGGCATTACTTCGGTGATTTTAAATCGTTTTAAAAATGGCAGCAACAAGCCCTTTTTTTTTTTTTGATTTCTTTCTTTCAAAAAATCATACGAACGCTTAATTCACACATGATACACCTTAGATCGAAAGAGTTTTCGCAATTTCAACAAATTTTCCTTATGGATTTGAAAATTGCTTGAAACCGATCCTTTCGATTTCTATATCGAAAATATACTTACAAAGTTTTTCCAACTTATTGATTGGCACTAACCCTAGATCCTTACCCTTGAGAAGGGAATAAATACTTTCTCCTCGAGCTCCATCCTGTACTATTTTTTACATTACAACCCAACAAAAAGAGGGTTTTCTAGTAGAACAAAGAATGTCGAGCCAAGAGCACCTTTATTCCTGTATAATATAAAGTGGTGGAGGTCAAAATCCACAGCAGATCATGTCCTTCAATTCAAGTCGCACGTTGCTTTCTACCACATCGTTTCAAACGAAGTTTTACCATAACATTCCTCTATTTTGGAACCAGTATGTAATTGATTCAATTTTGGAATCATGAATAGTCATTGTTCGATCGGTACATAGTAATCTATACTTTTTCCTTCTATATGAAGAAATGAAGAAAAAAAATAGGGCATTTATGAATAAAAAGTCTCAGTAAGAATTGAAATTCATTCTATATTTTATTGTCTAATTCTATATTTTATTGTCTAAACGCAATGGATATTTCATTCTATGGATGGAAAATCGATATTTCTATCAAAATCTAGATTTATATATTCAAAATATAGATTTATATATTTAAATATATAACTGATTTTGATTTCATTCTTTTTATTTAATAAAAATCTTTTTTTTTAAGCAACTAATTAAAATATGAATAAATATGAAAAAGCGGGGCATAGACTGCACTGAAATGAAAAGCCCCTCTGACTTTTTAAAAATTACAACTCTTGTAATCTATGTTTCCATCTTGCCCGGATTACAAGTAGATGTTATTTGAAATCAATGCAAGTGATGAAAAATAAACGATTCTTCCCTCTGAATCATTAAAAATTAGAAACAAGAATCACATTCTCCCCAATATTTGACTCTTAAACGAAACAGAAAGTTGTTCAAAAGGACAATATTTATTCTGTAATGAAATATTTATTTTGTAATGAGTAGGCTCTGGGACGGAAGGATTCGAACCTCCGAATAGCGGGACCAAAACCCGTTGCCTTACCACTTGGCTACGCCCCATTTAGATTTTTATTCAACACTAATAAACACTAATATTGTTAGTGGTTGTTCGTCAATTCCAGTCCAAATATCTATCAAATTGATTAGATTGGTGCTGAGATTTTGACATGTGTAGATATAAAATAAAATGAAATTTATTGATCATTACATAGAATTCAATTAAGATATTGTATGAAAGTCTAATTTATTCTATTCTCTTGTGAGAATTGAAGGATTTTTGATTGAGTGAGTTCAAAGAAGTATTTTTAGTCTACCTTACTTTCCTTTCTTCATTTTTCCCTTATATCAATAACATATTAATGTTATCAATAACATTATATTAACTCAATCAAAATACAATTATCTACAAGAACAAAATATTTGTTATGCTTAATATATTTAATTTGATCTGTATCTGTTTTAATTCTGCCCTTTTTTCGAGTAGTTTTTTATTCGCCAAATTGCCCGAAGCCTACGCTTTTTTGAATCCAATCGTAGACGTGATGCCAGTAATACCTGTTCTCTTTTTTCTCTTAGCCTTTGTTTGGCAAGCTGCTGTAAGTTTTCGATAAGATCTTTAATACTGTCCTAGAAAGATTCATGATTTATTCGAGAAAAAAAAAATTCTAACAATTGAGAAGATCAAATAAGTCTTACAGTATAAACGAACCCTCAATTCAAACATTGTGAAATTTTTTTGGTACCACTAAAAATCTGGATCATCCCATTTCCTCATTTTGACCCCCTTTTTTCACTGAAAGAGAAAAAATCTATTAGAGTACACCACAACACAATATCTAATTGTTGGTATGAAAAAAGAAATTTCTAATATGAAAGACTCAACTCTTCTTACACATGCATTTTAAAAAACTCTTTTCTAGTTTATTTAATTTCTCGAAATTCTAGAAATCGCTTCATTTATTGGTGTCAAAATAAATAGGATATGTGGTATAAAAATAGAGAATCTATTCTCTTTTTTCCAAAAATAAAGATAAGATCTTGGAGATTGTGTAATGCTTACTCTCAAACTCTTTGTTTACACCGTAGTGATATTCTTTGTTTCTCTCTTCATCTTTGGATTCCTATCTAATGATCCAGGACGTAATCCTGGACGTGAAGAATAAAAAAATAAGGGTTTTCTTGCTTTTTTTTTTATATTGATTTTTAGAAATGTTATAATCTTATTAGAATTTTATCTATTCCACATCATCAAAAAAGGAAACGGAAAGAGAGGGATTCGAACCCTCGGTACGAATAACTCGTACAACGGATTAGCAATCCGACGCTTTAGTCCACTCAGCCATCTCTCCTAATTGAAAAGGGGTAATTACTATGTTACATTACACAAAAAGTAATGCTTAAAAAAAAAAAAGGGAAAGCCCTTCTTTACTT